AATTGGTGGATTCCCACCTCAGCCACTATGTGATGAGTGTATGGGGTTTAGGATGGTTGTTGCAGTCACAGACCTCCCATGCTTTAGTCTGCTGCCCTTAATTTCATACAAAATCATTTATTTATACTTCATATACATGCCCTGCTTGATACATGACTGTACAAGTTGGGACTCGAGCCAGTCTACAGTGTTTCCTTTTACATGAACCCTTCCGATTGCAATGCTGCCATACAAAGTACTCAAACCTACACTGACAGTAGGACCACATAGTATCTGAACCATCTCCTTTCTCAGAAAGACACTTAAACCCTATTTGGGCAGGATAAGAAATGCATGTAACATCCCCAAATTACCAAAGATAGCACAGATACTAACCCCATCCAGATTTAGTCTCTTAGCACATCTATAAAGCAACTGACTACAGCATTTTTGGCTGACCAATCCCATAACATAGTAATGAAACGGAAACACGGAACTTTTTTCCCAGCCGCACAGCACCTTAGACATTGGTGTAGAGTCGGCCCTCGGTGTCCGTGGGGGGTTGGCCCCAGGACCCCCGGCAGGTACCAAAATCCACAAACCGCTTAGGTAAAATGCCATAGTATTTGCATATAACCTACACACATCCTCCCACACACTTTAAATCATCTCCACATTATAACTATTTATGTGTAAATTATAAGTAAAGTATCTAGAGAATGACAAACTCTGTACATGTTCAGAACAGTAGAGCAGGGAAAAATCAAAAATTTTGCTTTTTGGAACAATGTGGATTTTTATATATATATATATATATATATTATATCCGTTAGATGAACCTGTGGATACGGAGGGCCGACTGTATTATTCAGTAGTTCTGTACTGCTCTGCAGCTATTGCAAACCTTGCATAGAAGAGGCTCTAGGTGATGGTAGAGATGAAGTCCAGTACCACATTCGAGCTCCGTTTTTAGCAGATAAATGGCGTTTCCACCTTACAAAAATAGGGGTGTACCTTTATACACACACACACACAACCTTTTTACCAACCGACAATTCAGACTGAACTATTACCAAAAGTAGTCTGTATTCACTAAAATACAGAAGGTAATTCGCTCCTGAATTTTTACTGTGGAGGGCTGTAATCATTACAGACATGCCAGATTTGAACTAGATTAAAATTACGAACCTCGCTGGTAATCGTTCCAATTACATTACGTCCCCATGTTAGACGAATCCCATCGCAATAGGGCTGTACAGATGAAAAGGCTACTCACAACATACCAAGCATCTCCATCAGTATTCTACATTATCAAGTGAGGAAAGGATTGCTGAAAATAAAGACACTTTGGTTACATGGGGCCCGGCTGCTAGCTGGCCTTCAGCTTGCCCTGTTGCAGACCCTGCTCAGTCAGGCTGGCTTTGAGGGAGTTGGCCACAGTCTGCCTAATGTTATCCTCCATAAAGTGATCGCTCAGGGGCTTCAATACCTGAAGGGTGACAACGGGACAAAAAGCACATAGAGGCGACGATGAGAAAAACCAAAAGATGAGGACGAGAACAGGGCAGCTCAATGCTATGCAGACAACGCTGCACACGGCGTTCCACCATACAAGAGGCATAATACTTTTATAATGGTGCCAACCTGTGGTCTAAATGTTGTGAATCAGGTAGACATTTATTCCCCCCCAGCAGTCACACACTGACAATCCTAAAAAAAAAAAAAATCCTTAACTACAGAAAGAGCAACAACTATTTCTTCTTCTTGTAATTGTTGTTGGAGGGCAGTCTCCTCCTCTGTGCTGCCACAATAGGGCGCCAAACCATTCGACTTCCTGCCGACTCTAGTACTTTGGATAACACCTGAAACGGGAGTGTCACCAGTTAGCACGGCATTAGCAAGATTTAAGGCAGGGAAGAATAAAGCAGGAAAGCCACAAGCTGTGCATCTCCTCTCACCTTTCTTGGAGCCCTCTGAGGCAGAAAGAAAAGACAGATTATGAGAAGCACACAAGAACTGTTAGTCAGTTGGTTTATGAAAGGGAACTGAAAACAGGCAGTCATTCATTTTTTTCCTGACATCCTCCACTTGTCACCTACGACGGCATCGGATCAAGACATACATGGTGAATGTGTGGGGTGACAAGCTGACACCTACCTGCTCCCATAAGGTTTCGGCCACCTGGTCAATGACGGTGCCGAGATCCCGGAACTCCCCCGAGTACTTCACATAGGCCCAGGTACAGAGCGACATCAGCGCCAGCCCCATAATCAGATTGCTCAGGCCAGCTATAGAGTTCAGGCCGATGAAACCAGTCACTGCCGAGATGATGTACATGGCGAACATGACGGCGAAGAGCGTGGCAGGCGTGCGCGCGGCGTAGAAGATGTTCTTGCCGTCGTTGTGCTTGACGAAGCTGACGTAGGCCTCCTCCAGCTCGCCCTCCAGCTGCTCCCGGTATCGCCGGCAGAACTCCTCCCCGCCCATCTTCTTCACGGCACAGAACTGCTGCACGGAGCGCAGCTTCACCTCTCCATGATTGCGCTCCAGGTCAGTGGGAGCGATGTACGGCTTGTCTCCCCCACAGAGCTGAGGAGGCACGTGACGGCCATCAGGCTCACGCACGCTACTGGAGACATTACAGGCAAGCAGAGGCGCTTCGCTTACCTGCTCCATGCTCTTGTTGTACAGGTCTTTCGCTCCAGCGACAGCAGCCAGGTTGTTTGCTTCGGCGGTCGCCTGTATGGACAGGTCAGCGTGCAAATGGGCTGAGGACAAGCTTTCATATAAGGCCATAAAAACAGCTTCAAACTCAGCTGGACCTATAACACGACCCACTATCATCCCAAGCTATCAACTCATCAACAACACAATGAGCTGCCATCATCCCCGGCAGTCATCATGTTACAGTCCATAACATGTGCATATCAATGACGACGACTGCCTAAGTGCAGAACATCTTCACTCGTCGGTATCAAAGTTCACTGGCCCAGTTCTGACCCAGAACGTAGAGCACAATGTAGCTGTCGCATCTGGCATCGCGCAACCATTTAACATGATGCAGCACACATCAGCATTCAAAACAGCCATCACACACAGCAGGGGCCACGTTACATCAAGGGCAACAAAGGCTGAAGACAGGAGGCTGACAACCTGCAGATGCTCATCACTGATAACTCTGGGGATGGCAGGAACACATGCATCCTTCAACACCTAGATACATCACTGTTCACATACCTGCAGCATGGATTTGGGGTGAGGTAGCTCTTCACCCTGGTATATTTTTATATATGCCTGAAACACACCAAAAAGCCTATTAGGCACTTTTCAACACATGTGGCTCAGATCATATTGCAATATTTATACTTTTTTCAAGAGACTCCTACTTTAAAGTACTCCACAAGGTCTCTACACGTCAGCTTGGATCCACCGATTTCCTTCACGACCAAGTTCTCTGGGGAGAGCACTAATGGTACGAGTTTCTCCAGTTCCGTCTTGAAATCATCATCGATATCTGCAAGACAAAAAGACCTTGAAGCATCCATGATATTCAAGTCTGGTCAAAACCTGCGCCACATACTTGCTTTCATTTCCACAAATAACACCCCTCTCTCAAGAAGGCCCTAAGCACCTGACAGTAATATTTTACACACCTTTCAGTCTGCCATCAAAGTGGGGATTTGTGGCGACCTTCAAGCCAGGGTGTGGAAGCAAGAAGCAACTTATGTTTGAGAAACAAGAGTGGATGTGCTTCCTGACATTCTGTAGCTCCTCATGTTGGTTTTGCTTAACCTGGCACATGAAAAAAATTCCATCAAATGTCACAGACACCTGCTTCTTCAGGTCGATATGTACGAACCCAATAAACACTTCCAAAGCCCATAGGATTCTGTGGCTGTTCGGTTTCACTTGATAAGGATATATCTGACCAAGGCTAAGATTTAGCAGGAAACTACATGCACAACAGTATTCCTCCTGCAGCCACACTTACAAGCAGCCCACTCCCACTAAAACCATGAACTGTTACCCAGACACACGGACCTATCAGAACTCATTATTCATCCTTCTGTTACTGTTGTCATGGGTCCGTGTCCAAACTAAGACACCAATTAGTGCAGGCCCTGGAAATGCCAGCCAAAGGGAGCCTTTTCAAGCTGCTTGTCTCTTGCATCTGCCTCAGAGGGACCTTTCCCTGCTCCGATCAGACAGCTTCTCGGCCTGCTCTGCAGCTGCCCTCGGAGGGACCTTTCCCTGCTCCGATCGGAGCTGCCCTCGGAGTGCCTGCTCACCTGCAAACGCTTTTCCAGGAACTTCCTTCCCCCCTCTAAACCGTAGGGGTGCTCATAGGGGTAACTCCAATCGCGTATCAGGAACATGAGGGTCTGAGGAGTGGAGAACAAGCACTTCAGATGGATTTTTATTCAACCACAACAGAGTACAATATGTCCCGTGCAGCATCTCCAAATTCAGAGGGTGTCAGTGCAGCATGTTACATGACATTCATATCCTACTGAAGCTGGAATTAACAAAGGTGAGTTAGCAACTGTCTGGAAAATTACTATAGGACCACCAGGTTATTAGTACACAAATTCAGGTCAAGCAAAAGGCACTAATTAATGCTGTGTTCTGTTTACCTCGGAGGTTAGAACTGGTAAT